CATTGAACGGAGGTACACGGTGCAAGAGAAAGAGATGTCAGCAATAATTCATTGCTTGCGCACGTGGTGACACTACTTGCTTGGGATCCAAATTTGTGGTCAAGACAGACAATGTTGCCACTAGATAGTAAGACTTCTTAGCAGAATTTGACTATGCCCTAGGAGTACAAGCCAAGGAAGGCAAACCTCGTGGCTGATGCACTAAGTCGCAAGGCGAAATTGGCAGCTTTGGGTAGCAAACCCCGAAGGGAGTTGGTTGAACTTGTCAAAGAAGGGCTACAACATGACCCACTCGCCAAAGGTATCATTGAATTAGCCAACAATGGGAAAACTCAACGTTTCTAGGTGGAGGATGGCCTACTCTACACAAAGGGGAAACAACTCTATGTTCCAAAGTAAGGTAACCTACGGAGGAATCTAATGAAGGAATGTCATGATACCAAATGGGCAGGCCACCCAAGACAAAGGCGTACCAGGGCATTATTAGAATCGGCATACTATTGGCCAAGAATGTGGGATGATGTGGAGGCATACATGAAGACTTGTCTTGTGTGTCAGCAAGACAAGGTAGAGTAGCAAGCACCTGGAGGTTTGCTAGAACCATTGTCTATAGCTGAGAAGCCTTGGGAGAGTGTCACCGTGGACTTCATCTCAGCCTTGCCTAAGTCGAAAGGGTGCGGCTCTATTATGGTAGTGGTTGACCAATTTTCTAAGTATGCCACATTCATAGCAGCCCCAATAGATTGCACAGCAGAGGAGGTGGCTTGGTTATCACAAAACATGTGGTGAAGTATTAGAGCGTGCCTAGGTCCATCATTAGTGACCGGGACCCTCACTTTACAGGACGATTTTGGATTGAGCTATTCAAGATGTTGGGGTTAGACCTACACTTCTTTACAAGCTTTCATCCATAGACTGATGGCCAAACAAAACAGGTGAATGCTTTGCTGGAGTTCTACTTACGGCACTTTGTCAATGCCAATCAGCGAGATTGGGCTAAGCTGCTAGATGTAGCCCAATTCTCTTACAACTTGCAACGAAATGAGTCCACAAATCACAGCCTATTCAAGCTAGCAATTGGACAGCAGCCATTAACGCCCCACACAGTGATGTCTGGTTATACGGAAAGAGTCCTGTAGCATTCAAGTTTGCTAAAGGATGGCAAGAGCAAGCTGATGTGGCACGAGCCTACTTAGACAAGGCGTCTAAGAAAGTGAAGAAATGGGCTGACAGAAAGAGACGAGCGGTGGAATTCCAAGTGGGGGACTTGGTACTTGTCAAGCTGTTGCCTCAACAATTCAAGTCCCTAAGAAAGATGCATAAAGGATTGGTGCGAAAATATGAAGGACCTTTTCCCATCACAAAGAAGGTTGGGAAAATTTTCTATCAAGTGCAACTACCTCCAAAGCTTAAGATTTATCTAGTCTTCCATGTAAGTAAATTGAAGCCTTATCATGCTGATTTGGAAGACCTAAGCTAAGGGGAGTCACTGCGAGCACCAACGACAGTAATAACCTCTTATGACAAAGAGGTAGAATACATTGTGGCCGACCGAGTCATCCGAAGGCGTGGAGTTCCTCTTAGCACAAAATACTTGGTAAAATGAAAAGGACTACCAGAAAGCAAGGCTAGCTGGGAACCAACAGAAGCTTTATGGCAGTTCCAGGAGCAAATAGAAAAGTTTTGCGGGGAGGATGCGACGACGTCGTCGCCAGCATAGGTGGGGGAGAATGTCACAAGCTGTTAAATTTTCTATGGCAAAAATCCTCTACATGGGAGCTTAGGAGCATAGAGGTTAATGGAAGGATCTAGAACTTCCTAGCTCATTCCAACTCTTAAGAGAACATAGAGAATTCTTGTAACAACCCCGATCCGTAATTAGCCCCTAATCCGTAATTAATGATGCTAATGAGAGAATTAAAATGAATTATATGTTTAATTTGTATTTTGCATGATTTTGGCTTTCTATTTGTCACTTGTAGAAATATCTGTCCGATACTCCGTTTTAAAATAAAAATTGAAAGCCTTATCAGCATCCGAGATCGGAATCGGTTACATGAATGTGTTATTTGGAATTTTTAGAACCATATGGCAAATTTTATTAAAAACTGATTCAGTCTGATTCATTAATTTGTGTTTGGTTAGCCTGATGTTCCAATTAATGTATTATAGCATCATAAATATAAATATAAGCCCCTTAGGCTCTTTTGAGCTCATCCTTGTCCATTTTGAGTGCAAAAAATCTGAGAATTCATTTTAGAGAGAGAGAGTTTTCACCTTTAGAGAGAGAAAGTGTAGAAATTGAAGAGAATTGAAGGCTTTGGCTTGAACTCATCAAGATTGTGCAAGAATCTAGTTAATTCAAGACTATAGGTATGAATTCAACCCCTAATTTATGAATCTAAGTCATCAACATGAAGATTATGAGTTTAAATGTGTACATTGAGCTTAGAATAAGGAATTGGGTTACAATTCATATATACATGCCCATGTAGGTGTTAATTTACCATGTTAGTTATAAGTTTCACCAAGTTGGTAAGTCAATCCCATGTTTTTGAAGTCTTGAAAGAGGATTTGGATAAGAAATCCACATGCATGCATGTTTATATGGAGTTTTGACATGTTGAGTTTGATTTTGAACATCTAAATTGTTATGGTAAGTTATTTGGTACATGCATGTTGGAATTACCATGTTTAATCACTTGAACACATGTTTTGAGAAGGAATTTCTTACATGCATGGAGCTTATGAGCTCAATTTGCTAGTTTCATGAGTTTGGAAGAAAAGAGTTTGAAAGATTTCACATGCATGTTTTGCTTATTGAATTTCAAGATGAATTGTGAACTTTTGGCAAACTCTTGGGCTATGATTTTATGAAATAATCCTTAATTCTTCATATTTTACAAGTTTACTATGTTATCTCAAGTTTTGGGGCCCAAGAGATATATTTTGAAGATTGGAATTCGAATTTTGAGCTTGGAGGTGCAATCTGAAAATTCCAGAATTTGCATCCACGCTCGAGCGTGGGAGTTCACGCTTGAGCGGCTACTCTGAGTGCGTGCACTTCCGCTCGAGCGACCAGAAGTCCACTCGAGCGTGAAATGCAAGCTCCCAAAAGTTTCATATCTTTGCTGATCGCTCGAGCGAAGGAATCCGCGCTCGAGCGACCATCCACATTTTGCATGTTCGCTCGAGCGAGGAAAGCTACGCTCGAGCGGAGACCTTATTTTCAGAAATTTGACTAAGTATTCCAATTCATGTTTTGGCATCCTCATTACATCTTAGGCGTTCCTAAGCCTTAATTAAGCCATGATAATGAGGTTATGGATTAGAAATACACTAAGTAAAGAATGTACTAAGTTACGAGACTAAGTGTGTGTGTGTTAAACAATGTGCTAAGAATGAACAATAATCAGCGTAATGGAAGCTAAGCCGTGATGGCCACATGAATGTGTAATGATAAAATATGCTTGTGTTATGTATTTTGTGGTTTTAGGTCAAGACTCGAGGGTTGATTGACCATTTACAGAAAACCATTGTGAATAACATTTCTATAAAGATATGTTGATACGAATTATGTTACAAATGTGATATGTCAAGTTATGATTTCTGAAATAATATTGTTTACGTGAACAAATGTCCTATGATTGAAATCTATTAGCCACTTCATTGTAATGATATGTGTTTAATCAGTATCCGGAATCGATTACTCTAGTCGGAAGACGTTATGTGATGTTTTCTATGGGATGTATCATTACTATGTTCAGATACGAGAATGATTATGTTATGATTTGTTTTTTGCTTATGAAATGTTCGGATTTCGTTCACTAACCTCTTTACCTTAATGTTATTCACTGAGTTTTAGCTCACCGTGTGTGTATATATGTATAGGTGGGCATTCTGGAGATCGAGCCTGAAGGCTTTGTCTGGATCTGTGTCCTGTTGTCAGCCAACCATTGCGCCTCACATGGAGGTTTCCGAAGTGTCCTGTGTTAAAGTTCTACTGTTTCTGTACATAAGAGTTCTTAGTTTTGTTGGCTGTACTTGTGATGTTATTGCTAAGTGTGTGGGTATAATGAGGAAATGGTTTTTGACTATGTATATAAAGTTTTAAATATTCTGTTTCACATAAGTCAGCACAGCTTATTGGACAACTATATTCATGTATTTGCTTCCGCTAGCCCCTTAATTCTGTTAATCAATTTAGAGGCCTTCAGTAATCCAGGGAATACTGGCCGGTTACAATGCTAAACCTATAGGGGCGGGTTTGGGTCGTGATAATTCTAAAACATCCTTGAGTATTCAAAACACTTAGACTTGTAAATATCTTGTATAGATATTTCTATAGCATTCTAGAACATTCTTGTAGCTTGCAAATAAGGCTTCCAAAGGAAGCTTCTACATGACATTCTCTTGAGAACTTTAGAATGCTCCTAGGGAGCCTATAAATAGGAGAAGAGCTCATTTGCTCCAAACCATCCAAGAATTGTAAAGCTTTCTCATAGTGAATACAAAAGGCATTCTCTTAAACTTTCTTGTGTTTCTCTTACTTCTCTTTTATATAAGTTTGTGAGTTAGGTTGACTTAGCTTCATCAAGCGAAGCTTGAGATTGTCTAAGTGCTGCACGGATAGCTTGGAAACAACCAAGGTCGTGACAGGTCACTCCCCTCCTGGATCTATCCTTACTTCAAACAAAGGGCATCAAAGATTGCAACATCTATATTTGCACTGCCAAGAACTTTAAGAAGTTAAATGATGGCGAAATTAAGAATGGTTTCTTTTACATTTCATTGACTTGACAAGTATACTGCAAGCTTTATCTTCAAATCAAATCAAAAGGCAAACTTCTACAAAGGTCAAAGGAATCCAAGTTTAAGCTGCATATGAAGGACTAAAAACCCCACCTTTGTTGATAACTACATGTACAATTGAATAAAAAAAAAAAAAATACAAAAAAATGGAGCTAACAAATAAGAAGTTTGAACAAACTAGCATTTACTGTTTTTTTTTAAAAAGAAAAAAGAAAAAAAAGAACAAACTAGTATTTACATTGCTATTGATATCTAGCTTTGACCAATATATTTTGTAGTTCTCAAAAAAACCAAAATTTCCAGCAATATATCAGAAACAAGAAGCTAAAAACTTATTAAATGTACACTTGAATCTTGTCTGCTCTTCCTAATCTTCCCTGTTTCATTCAAAGTTAGTGTTTTTCCTCCTCAACATTACCCTCTTCAGTTAGAAGTTTTTGCAAATCACGAGACTTTGCTTGGCTGACCAAGATTTCATTTCCTTTCCCAAGTAAAACCAGGCTAGGAATGTAGGCATGCACACAAACTAAGAAATGAACATCATGAAGCCCAAGATCCCTGAGTCGTTGATTCTTGGGATTATATGCAATCAATCCATTCTTTGAAGACAAAACAACTGCACCATTTCTCCTCAAGAAACGTACCTCTCCCATTCCCACCGTATCAATGGTGTATAGTTTGGTCCTAGACTCTACCTTACCATACTCCTTCATCACCCATACAAAACATTTACTCGAAGAAATGTGAGGCTCATGGAACACAACAAGTGACTTCCTAAATTCTACAATAGACAATGTCAAAGAATTCATTTTAACAAGACTTTTCGACAGATTCAACTCTCCAAATACCTCATCCCTCAAATCAAATGACAAAATCAAAGCATTAGACCTATTCTTATCAACCGCAACCCAAATGATGGTTTCGCCAACGAAAGCTTGAGATGAATTATAATGTACGAGGTGCATAGGCGCAACAACACGAATGTCTCTCCAAGAACCCAAACGATGCGAGTAAAGCTTAACCGAAGGGAGTTTTTTCAAGCGAAAATGATCAGGACCTTCTTCAAAATAGGTCAATTTCAACACCTTGTAGTCTATAGTTTTGGGATCAAACCCAAATCCAACAACATGATTAGCAAGACCATGAAGCCAATAAGTTGAAATTCTTGGCAATGGAAGAGTCAGTGACTTGTTGATAATTGGGTTCCACACAATCACATTGTTCATAATACAATACAAATCATTTGAAAGACATACCAAACCATTACAAGAACTAACAATTCGAAAAGATTTATTGAAACCCCGAAAAGGGAATTGAAGCTCAAAGTGATGCGAATCGAGTGGGTCATCATTGTTACTCCAATGTCTGGTATAGTGGTCTTGATGACGGATTTCGATGTCGGCTAAGTGTCTGATGAGTAGAGAATGAGTGTTGTTGGATTCGGAAACAAAAAGGGTTCGATTGAGGTATGTGTTGATGAAATTAGGGCTAGTGATTAGAGAACACCATGATTTGGAAACGCATCTGAATTGAACGACAGTGTAGATTGGTAGTCTTATGAGTATTTCAATCAACAGTTCCTCTGGTAGATTGTCCGGCATGGTTCGAGTTGGAGATTGAGATTTCTTGGAGCTTCTTGAGAGAGAGAGAGAGAGAGAGAGAGAGAGCGAGCGAGCGAGCGAGCTTCTTGAATGGGAGAGAGAACAGAGAAATGGGTAGAGAGGGAAATGTATTTTTGTATCTCTGCAATTGCATTGACTCTTGTTTCTGGGTAGCGGTCATTTTTTTTTTTTTTCAAAACACTTAGACTTGTAAATATCTTGTATAGATATTTCTATAGCATTCTAGAACATTCTTGTAGCTTGCAAATAAGGCTTCCAAAGGAAGCTTCTACATGACATTCTCTTGAGAACTTTAGAATGCTCCTAGGGAGCCTATAAATAGGAGAAGAGCTCATTTGCTCCAAACCATCCAAGAATTGTAAAGCTTTCTCATAGTGAATACAAAAGGCATTCTCTTAAACTTTCTTGTGTTTCTCTTACTTCTCTTTTATATAAGTTTGTGAGTTAGGTTGACTTAGCTTCATCAAGCGAAGCTTGAGATTGTCTAAAGTACTGCACGGATAACTTGGAAACAACCAAGGCCGTGACAGGTCGCTCCCTTTCTGGATCTATCCTCACTTCAAACTAAGGGCATCAAAGATTGCAACATTTATGCTTGCACTACCAAGAACTTTAAGAAGTTAAATGATGGCGAAATTAAGAATGGTTTCTTTTACATTTCATTGACTTTACAAGTATACTACTTTATCTTCAAATCAAATCAAATCAAAAGGCAAACTTCTACAAAGGTCAAAAGAATCCAAGTTTAGCTGCATACGAAGGACTAAAAACCCCACCTTTGTTGATAAACTACATGTACAACTGAATCAACAAAAAAAAAAAAAAATGGGGT